GGGGGGGGGGGGGAGACTATAGCACTGAGCGTGAGTGTGTGTCGGGAAGGGAACTGGGCTCCCTGCATCCCTGGTAACCAGGGACACACATTTCTAGTCAGGCCCCAGTTCTTCCCCCTGCCTCCCACCCCTGACCTTGGGCCCAGTTCAAGGGCACCTCTTTGCCTGGCCCTGAATGAGTGTGGTACCTCAAGGCTAGGGCTGTGGACACAGCACAGCCCCATCTCGGGCTCTGTCTTCAAACCTGGCGGGAGGTGCGGCCTTGCGCCCCAACCGTAGACAGAGCCCCTCTCCCGNCCCGGAGCCTCCCCACCCTCCCCGCAGAAGGTGATGCCCCTGCCATCTGCCCCTACTCCTCAGAGGCAGGAGCGGTGCCCAGGGCTTGGCAGTCCGCCCTCACCTGCCCTTGTCCTGCTTCCCAGACGGGCAGAGGGAGCTAAGCCATCCCTCAGAGACAAAGAGAAAGAGGCAAGAGGTGTCCTGGGTCAGGGGCACCTGGGGTCCCGTCTTCCAGGCTCCCCAAGTCCCACTAGCCATACCACCTCCTCTCTCCACTGCTGACACCGCTCACGTTCACTGCCCACCTGGCCCTTGCTAAGCTTCCACCTCTAGCCTGTGCCCCCGCCCCCGATCCCCAATGCCGCCCACTCCCCAAGGGGCTCTTTCCCTCCTGGGACTTCTAGGTGGCCCGCTGTGCAGACAGGGCCCACTAGGCTGTGCCCTGGGCTCGTGGGGCAACTTGTGGATGCTCTGCTCGTGGCTGGTAGCCCCAGTGGGCAGGAGAGGTTGGCATCCTATGGATGAGATGCTGTGGGGGGCCCAGGGCTGCTCCAGCAGGAAACGGCTCCTCCCATCTCCAAGCCCTCATGTTCCCCGGCCGCCCCACCCTGGTTCTGGGTCTGGGCTCAACCTGAATTGGAGACCCAGACCTCGGGCACTCACCTGGGTCAGTGTGCGTGAGCTGGGCTCACTGTGTCCCGCAGCCGAGCAGACTGTGGGGGTGGCATGGAGGGGAAGCTATGAAAACTTCGGCCCTCAGCAACTGGCTGGTAAAAATAGAACAGGCCCGATGCCCCTCCCGCCGCCCCCTCCCACC